TATTTATTTTATAATTTTATTTATAATTCAATTTATTTGCTTTGTAAAAAATAAATTTACCATATTTATTATTTTATTCTTTAAAGCTGACTAATATTGCATTGGAGACAATAACTGAGTCTGAGCCTGAGTCAGACTAACATTTTCAGTTAATGTTATCATTAGGTATTATGCAATATTTATATTACATTTATAATTCTTTTAGGTTATCTTACCATAAATAATTAGACTAATTATATATTTACTTTTAATATTTTTAGGAGCATGTTCTGCAAAATGTTTACAAATTGAAGTTGGAGCCTTGGAGATTCATATTTTTGGCATTTAGTAATTTATGTCATCAAGCTTTAAGTTGTGGAACTCTTGTTTGTTTATTTATTATATGAAAACTAATGCTAATTTCTTTGTGATCATATTTAATTATAGAACTTTTGAAACTAATGTTTATTTATTATATAAAGCTTATTATATAACTATTTGAATTAATAAAAAAGACCCATGTTAAACGAAAAGAAAATCAAATTATTTAACAAAAAACTTAATTTGAAATTAATGTCATTGTATTTTTAACCATTTTAGTCCATGGATCTTTTGGTATTTTAGCCCATTGAAATTAATGTTACCCATTAATCTTTAACCATTTTAGCCCATAGATCATAGTCCAATTCAACTCATTTTAGCCTAAGTCAACTTAAGTCAACCCATTGATCTCACCCTCAAAAATCCTCAAAAACAGACCGAAACCGACCGAAACCGACCTTCTAAAAAATCGATCGAAACCAACTTTACATCAGTGCGGTTCGGTCGGTTATATCTCAAAAATTTTTAGTCGGTTTTGATGAAAAATCGACCCGAAACCGACCCATGCACACCCCTATAGATGTTTAAATAGATACAAAATAGGAAGCCTATAAAAGCAAGTTGGATGAACATTTGTTGATAAATCCTCTTAACTATCCATGGATGACCACCCAATAATTAAGCAAAATAGGTGGGATGAAATCTAACAATAGATTCTGCGAATCTATCGGTAGATAGCCATACGGAATTGAATGGGAAACAAGTTGAGGAGCATCTATCAATAAATTCACGAAATCTATCACGTTTTTCTTTTAAAGCAACACTTACTTGAATTATTAATATTATTCTAAAAGCAATATATGCATTTATCTTTTTTCATGTGTTCCCCCATTTACCGACTTTTGAATATAGTATGTAGCAAAAAAAATATGTTGAAAATTCATCTTTAGGAAAATCTAAATCATTAACTTTAATTGGACCTTTTTCTACTAATAAATCTATTAAATTTGTATCAATATTTGTCCATTGACTCGGATCATAAATATTTTTAGGAATGCAATCATTTAAATTAATAGGTTGATCCTCTTCATCATGATTTCTATGATAATTTTGAAACTCTTCATGATTTCTATTATCATGTTGAATCTCTTCATTAACTTCTTGTTCTAGTAGTTCATCATCATCTAACTCTCTAAGATTATTAACTTGTTTGTTTAAGGGGCAGTCATTAATAATTTCTGATTTATTATTTTTATTACTTATAAAAAAATTTATCAAGCTCTCCTTTTTGAGATTGTATTAAACTTGCAATTCTTCTTCTTTTTTAAGCTTTAAATAACCATATTCACATTTTCAATTTGACATATTCAAATATTTATTATGACATACAAAAATATTAGCTATTGTAAATATTTTATATTTTTTAAATGGCTAATATAAAATCAACAATCAAAATTTCTAAGTCAAATAAATCAACTATCACATAAAATAAAGACAATATAACAGTACAATATAAACTCTAAATTAAAGTAGAAAAGTCTATAAAGATTAGAATAATAGTACCTAATTGTCGAATGCTAATTACAAATCGTAAATGAGACTCATGGCTTTATGAAGATAATAACATAATAGATTTCTTGTGAATTCTTTGGAGAAAAATTGAAGTTAAAGGAAGAAAAATAGAATGAGAAAAGAAGAATTCGGAAGTAGATATTATTCATTAAAAAAATTGATTTTATATATAGAAAAAAATAATTGTTGGGAATCATTACATACATTACTTGGCAAAAGGAGAAATAAGTGAGAAAAAAATAGTTGTTGAAGATGATTAAATACATATAACCATTAGTTGATTGGAAATAAAAGAATATAGCTAAGAATTGATAGCATTTTAGAAATTAAAAAGTGATAGAAAATTAAGATTTATTAAGCACGTAATTAAAGAAATATGAGAATAAGTAATTTATTAATTAATTTTAATTTTTATATTTTTTAATATAATTAATTATATTATAGTTATTAATACATTATAAAGCCTCCTCAAATTTGAGACCTCCCTAAATTAGGGGCCGAAAGCCCCTGCTTGGATGGCTTCACCCAAAGGCCGGCCCTCATAAGTGTCAGGAACAAACCAACAAAAGAGCTCTAGGAGTAAATAAAAGCCTTAAAAGAACCTGAATAGAATCGAGTCAGAAAATGTGTTCAAAAGGAATCAAAATAATGAATTGCTGCAGAGGAATCCAGGAGATATACTGCGGAGGAATGCAAAACAAGCATGGTGTATGCCAGAAGACCGCAAACGAAACCAAAATGAATCCAAATAATGAAGTGCTGCTACAGAAGTATCCAAGAAAATAATGAAGTGCTGCGGAACTGCTCAAGTAAAACACACCAAACTTGTAATAATTTATGTACAGTGTAGACCTTAGACCTTTCTATATAAGCCTCTCAGGGTGATTGTGTAAGGCAAGTTCTTCGTTTTTGGAAGAAACTTCTCTGAAATAAAATAAAATTTCTTTCATCTTTCATCTTTTGCTTTGAAACTATATATGCTAGGACAGGTTCAATTGAGATCACAATAATCATATATTTTTATTTATACGCTTTGATAGATAAGGATACACTCTATATTATCACAGCCCTCCCATATTGGGTTCACTATTTCTATAGGTAAGAAATAAGGAGATAGAGATGAGCTGAGTGATAGATATTGAGTGAATTTATTTTCCGTACTTAATCAAAAGGGCAGCTCGCTGGCTACTTTTAAAGCCCTTCGGCTTTTATTTACGATCAACTATGATACGTTGTATGGCCCATTTAGGCGTTGCGAAGGTAACCATCTACGTTCTTGCTCCAACTTCTCAGAAAGTCCTCGTACCTGATAGGATCAGGGATGCCCTCGTTTTGCTTTTCATATTCCAATGTCCATTTCACCAAGCTTCCCTGAGCTAATGCTATAACATTCAGAATGGGCTTGAAGGACTTGTAGTATTTCATCAAATCTCCTTCCAAAATATTGAAAGTGATTGTCTTGCTTTTATCGTTGATGGCTTCTGTGGTTTCCTTAAGAGTCTCAGTGTTACCTACAAGATTGACAAAGCTCAAAATTAGTTGTGTCCGTCCAAGTGACAAAAGTTGGCTGCAGGTTTCTTGTTTAAGTAATTGAAATTTTATTAAAGTCTACAAATTTATTTGCAGATCAATGAAATGGAAAACGTGATAAATGGTAATTATTATCTACATCTCTATGCAAAGTGTCTATTAAAATAACGGAGAAGGAATTGAGTAATGATTGTTAGAAAATATGTCTACATAGTGTTATTGTTGCCTTTAATTACCTGCAGCAACATAAAACCATAATCTGACAGAGCCCACACTGTTCCAGTCACCCTCAACAAGCTTTCCGTCCTTGAAGTTTTGAGGGCAGATCTTTGGCATGAGGTGCATTTTGCTCCTGAAGATGTCATAGAACTTGTCAGCTGAGGACTTGATCTCAGTTTGGACCTCCATCTTTGCAATTTGAGCCATTTTTTTTATCTCCTGATTAAGAAACCAACAAGCTCAATCTGCAATAAGACTTGCGGAATGTTGTGCTTAGCAATTTGCCTTATATAGGAGGAAGACGCGCAATGTTGCAATCAAACTTGTAGAAAAGGAACAAGGATAAAGAAGGATAAAAGGTTAACAACGACGTAATTTACTGAGCTGAGAATATTGCCATGCCATTACGCTTTAGTAATCATTCTCATAAACTTTATTCTAGTGGTTTCTTCTTTCCCCTTAATTTATCAGCAAAATCTTCCTGACTTCTAATTTTGCTTACGCTGTTATTATTAGAAAGATCATGAGGAATAAGCTCAACCTAAGCCTTCTTCACTGAATGGCAGAATAAAGAACACTTTGGTTGTGGATAAAGGATGAAAAAGCAGAGAATAAAAGAAGACAAGTAAAACTCACCGTTTGAAAAAAAGAAGATGCAGAGCATATGAAGCTAGAAACGCACCGTTTCACTAAGGAGATTTATTAATTTTTTTAATTTCTATCAAATTAGTTGAATGTAATTATTATGCCTTTTCTTCTTTACTTTACTGTTTAAACACTGTATATATATTTCTGCTCATTGAGCTTTGATTGACTAGAAAAACCTTGAGAAATTTTCTCAAGGCTGCGCCATCTTGTTCTTTTCTTCTACTCATTTCTTGACTTCGTATTAGAGCATCTTGGAATCTAGCTGGCGGTCAGTATGCTTTCGCGATAGCAAAAAGATTATTTGGTCAACAAAAGATAGATTCATTGCCTATTCAATGCCAGTATTTAGTCTTCTTGCTACTGCATCATCGCTCAGGTTCATCTAATCGTTTTAGCAAAATTTACTCTTTAGTGTTTAGTTCTTAAGAGTAATCTATTATCATTTGAGAAATCATGGTTGAGAACATAGAATTTGGAACTCAATCTGGTACACAGACTAGTGCACAAATTAATACTCAAATCATTGAAATCTCACCTATAGCAAATCCTTAGTCCCCCTATTACCTACATCACACTGATGTCTCGATTCAATGGTTATTAGCCCCCAACTTACCAGCAACAATTACATAGCATGGAGTAGGTCTTTCTTGCTGGCAATGTCTATTAGGAACAAAACTGGTTTCCTAAATGGTTCCATAGCTAAACCTCAGGTTACAGATCCTCTTTACCTATCTTGGACCCATTGTAACAATTTACTGGTAGCTTGGTTGCTTGATTCGATTACACAACCAATGGCCTCAACCATTTTTTTTGTGGAGTCAACAGTTGAAATATGGAGTACTTTAAGGTAGAATGTTGTCCAACCTGATGACATGAGGGTTTTCAACCTACAATATACATTGGGAAACATAAGTCAAGGTACAAAAATTATGAATGCATATTTTCTTGAGCTGAAAGAAGTTTGGGGGGAATTGAGAAGTTACAAGCCTTTGCCACACTGCCAATATGGAAGATGTGATCCCAACTATTTCAAGAAATGCACGGATCAATATAAAAAAGACATCGTCTTTAGATTTCTAAATGGACTCAATGAATCATTTTCAGTTGTTAGATCTCAAATTGTCATGATGGATCCTATCCCAACTTTGGACAAAGTATATAGCTTAGTTCTAAGAGTGGAGACACAAAAGAATCTGCAAATTCAAGCATAACCAGTCCTTAAATCTTCTATTATAATGGTTGCTGTAGATATCAAGAAGAAAATGAGATGCGATATTTCATAAAATAATTGTGGGAAGAAGGGACATATAAAAGATAAGTTTTACAGACTTATTGGATTTTCAGAAGACTTTAAGTTCGAAAAGGGAAAAGTAGGTCTCAAGAAAGGAAAAGCAACTGTGAACAATGTAGTAGCAATAAATCATTTGACAAAGGACAGCAAAGCAAAACATGAAGAAGAGATGGCAAAAACAAGCTTTATATCTCAATTATCTATCATAAAGCAGCAGATCAACAAGCTGACAGAGCACTTGAATGAGAATGGTATATACAGCACTGATGGTAAGGTTTCTTCACAAAATACATAGCAGGCAAACCATTCACTTATCAACTTAGGGTTCAGGGTTTAAAGTTTTAGACTCTAGTGCCATTGAAAACTTCATTTATGCTAAACTAGTCAAAGATTGCTATATGCAGTTGCCTAATGGTAAAAGGGCATTAGTTTCTCATATAGGAATCATTAAGCTAGGTCCAAAACTAATCCATGAAAATGTTCTTTGTGCACCTAAGTTAAAATATAATCTTATTTTAGTAGGTCAGCTTACCAAAAATAAGAAAACCTATGTTCTCTTTATTAATAAGCACTAAGTTATTCAGGACATACTCTCATGGATAGTGATTGGGGTTGTTAGGGATTTCTCAAGACTGTACTTGATGCAAGAAAATTCAGATGATCAAGATCTCTCCAAGTTTCTTTTTGGAAAACTTGTCAAATTTCCTTTTACTTTTTTTGTTAAAGCCTATAAAGCAAAGAACAAATGTTTTGACCTTTGGCACTTTAGGCTAGGACACGTGCCTTTGGAAAGAATGAATGTTATGCACAAACAATTTCCAGACATTAAGTTTTCAGATGATTTAACTTGTGAAATTTGTTCACTTGCAAAGCAAAGAAAACTTCCTTTCCCTTTGCTTATTCAAAACACAAAAATAGCTTTTGAATTAATACATGTGGATGTTTAGGGTCCATATGAGACAGCAACATTATCTAATTAGATATTCTTTCTCACTATAATGGATGACTTTACACGATTTACATAGATTTTTCTCATGAAAAGCAAGTTAGATGTTTTATCAATAATTCCTTCTTTCAACAACTATGTTCAAAAGAAATTTAGTTCTTTAATCAAATGTATCAGGCCAAATAATGCACTAGAACTAAGGATGATAGATTTTTTGATAAAACTGGAATCATACGTCATTTATCATATGTTGAAACTTCTCAAAAAAATGGAATTGTTGAGAGAAAGCATTAACATATCCTGATGGTAGCCAGGACCATAATGTTTTAGTCTAATATACCTATGCATTTTTGGGGAGATGTAGTTTTAACAGCAGTGCATATCATTAACGGAGTACCTACCAAATTACTATAAAACAAATCTCCATTTAAGTTATTATATGGGAAACTACCTTCTTATGACCATTTAAAAGTGTTTGGGAGTCTATGTTATGTGTCTACATTGTCATAAAACAAAAAGAAATTGGATAAAAGAGCCATCAAATGTGTGTTTTTAGATATCTTAGTAATGTCAAGGGCTATAGAGTATATGATCTTTCTGCACAAAGAGTTTTAATTTCAAGAAATGTAGTCTTTCATGAATCAACATTTCCATTTCAACATGAACAGTGTGACACACTGACAGACCCATTTTATCAAACACCTAAAGTGCATGCAAGATATGTTGATGATCCTGATATCAAACATTGTCACAGTTCACCCAATCACAAAACACTTATCAACTTAGCATCTTTTACGTGATCATAAAACTTTCACCACTAGGGGTTTGCAAACAGTTATTTCGGTTAGTTCGATTTTAGATATCTAATAACCAAATTAATTAAACTAATATTTAAAAATAACTGAAACTGAGCCAAACTGTACAAGTAATCGAACTAACCGAAACTAAAGTAATTCGGTTAGTTCAGTTCTGTTTCCAAAAAACGAACTTGACAAATTTTTTATTTTTTTTGTTTGTATATATTTTATTTATGCTATATTTTTCTTAATAAATCAATATTAAAAAAATATTAAAAGTGATAATAAAAAATTATAATTAATAAAATGGATACTCATATAATTAGAGAGGAACTAAAAAGGAGAAGAGATTAGGTTTAGGATTTATTTTTCATGTAAAATCTCCATAATACCCTTACTTAAGTTTCGTTAGTTCAGTTAGTTCGATTAGAAATTTCCTAATCGAAATCAAACTGAATTAATTTTAATAATCGAACTATCTTAACCGAGCTATCCTAAGAACCAAACTAAGTAAACCGAAAAAATGGAACTCATTTCGATTCAGCTCGGTTTACATTTGCTCACCCCTATTCACCACATCATTATCTAATATATATGAACCTCATACTTACCATCAGGCTACCGACCATTCACATTAGAGAGATGTAATGGTAATTGAACTAAAAACTTTGTAGGAAATAAGACTTGGAGCATTATGCTGAGGCCTTCAAATTCTCATGTCACAGGGTTTATAAAGTCAAACTGAATGCAAATGGCACTGTTGAAAGGTACAAAGCTCAACTAGTTGCTAAGGGCTATAATCAAGTAACAAGGTTTGACTATTAAGAAACATTTAGCCTAGTTGCCAAGCATACAACTGGTAGAGTATTTTTTTTGCTCTGGCAATAGCTTTGAATTGGAATTTATTTCAACTTGATGTAGACAATGCTTTCTTAAATCGTGATCTGGAAAAAGAAGTGTATATGGAACTACCACAGGGGTATGAAATCCAAGTAGAGTATCCGCGAGGAACACAACTTGTCTGCAAACTCCATAATATGGCTTGAAGGAAGCTTCTAGGTAATGGAATGCCATGATTACTTCCCTAATTTTGCAATATGGATTTCATTAGTCCTTTGCAAACTATTCGTTATGCACTAAGAAAGAAAAATATGGTAATTTCATTGCTCTATTATTATATGTAGAAGTCATATTGATTGGGAGCA